CCCTCCTTTCTCCTCTCTCCCTCCTCTCTCTCTCTCTCTCCTTTCCTTTCCTATTTTTGCAGACCTTATCATTCCCTTATTTGGATTAAATTTGATAAAAAGTAAATGAAAATTTTTTTTAAAAAGAGAAAATTTCTGCAGTACAGCAATTTGAAAAAAGAAAATGATAGAAAGAGAAAATTTAAATGAAATTTGATGAATTCATAAATTTTTAAGAATATTTGAAAGCATTAAAATGAACTTTGATGTATGAACTTTGATGTATGCTAGAAAAATTATAATAAACTTTAAAGAAAAGTTTCACCTTCTTTCTTTTTTCTTTTTTTTTTGAAAAAAATCGTCTAAAAAAAAAGGAGAAATTATTATAAACTACAAAATATTCGATATACGATTACTGAACTATTAAATTTAATATTAAAAAGTTTTTAAATTATCACTTGGAGTAGATTTATTAGCCTATAATTATGGGAACATTAAAAAAAAAAGAGAGAGAACAATTGACTGTGAGAAAATGATAATTAAATTTTAATGAATTAAATGGAATGAAATACCGTAGTTAATCAGTAATTGAATTAGTATACTATAAAATTATTTCGCTATCGTCTTTTTTTTCTTTTTTATCTTCATAACAGAAGAAATTCTTTAAAATGTAAAATATAAAACCGTTGAAAAATGAAATAAAAATGAAACAGTTGAGATAATTTAAAAAATTTAAAATAAGAATAAAATTAATCATACCTTTGAAAATGTAGGAAATGCTATTTTGCAGACGAAATTTGATGAATTATGTAAATTAATGAAAGGAAAAAAAAACCTTAAACCATAAGGCTAGAATAATTTAATCATAATTAAGTCTGTCGTAATTATATTCATTAATATAATTAACTTCATTAGTCTAATGTAAAGTATTAAATTGTTTTTTTTTGATTTAATTTTACAAATAAATGAATGAATATTACGAAATATTATGTTTAATTTTTCTTCCTTTAAAACTAATTATTTTAATTTCTGAGCTATGAATTAAATTAATAATTTAGTTTTAAATTAATAATTTATTTCATCCAGAGCAAATAACATGTCAAGAGATTTTACGAATAAATTAGTAAATTTAAATTAGTAATAAAATGAATATATCAATCGAATATATTTGTAAATGAGAAAAAGAAAAATGTATTTCTCCTATATAATCTTTTCATTTTTGAACATCCTTTGTTTTAATTTATATTAATTTATAATTTATATTTGTAGAATAATTTCATATTTAATTTATATTTAATTTATAATTAGAATAATTTATATTTAATTTATATTTAATTTATAATTTGTATTTGTAGCAATCTATGATGGTACCAAATTAATGCCAATCTATGATGGTACCAATTTGGTACCACCGTAGATTTTAGAACATCAAAAACAAAAAAAAAAATCACGCATATGTATAAAGCAGGGAAATGATGTAGTTAATCCAGTAAAGTATTTTTTTTTAAGAGACTAATGGAAGAAGGACCAATTTATCTGTTTCAGGCAAAGTAAGCCTTTTTTTTTCTTCATTTGAAGCAAACAAAGTTGTTTTTTGTTCTTTCAAAAAATGAAGATTGATAAGGACAATATTACTATTGATGATAATATCAATTTTGATTATCATTTCTCTTTCTCTTCCTGATAAGATAGGGAGAAAATATAGAGATAAGATAATTTTTAAAAAAAAAATAGAATATTATTAATATAGAGATAAGGTAATTTTATAAAAATGCGGTACTATCAATTAAATCTTTTTTAATTAAATTTATTTTAAAAAGTTGAATGGTTTTTTTGTTCTTTTAAATAAAATATCAAAACTGTAAATCATCTATTTTGTAGAATTCAATTACGTCCTAGATGGGACTGAATCATGGGAAGAGGGTAATTTTGAATTAGAAGGTGAAAATCATGATTTCACAATACCTTTTCATCCTGTATTGGTCATTTATCATCAATGTGGTCAACTAAAACGTATGGTTAGTAAAACTTTGTATAAAAAAAAAAAAATTAAAATTTTAAAAGAAATGAAAATTTATTTATGTATTATTTTCTAAATTTATCATTACAAATAATTAATTCATTATGATATTCCAGTTATAATATAATTTATGATATAATTATAATACAATTAATGTGAGACATAATTTCAATAATTAACCAATCAATGCAATAATTTATAATATTTTAGTTAAATTTTAATATTATAATTTATATATAATAACTTTTGTAGAAATATATCATTTTTATTATAAATGAATGAATGAATGAATGCATTTTTGAGAGAAAAAGAGAGAGAGAGAGAAAAAAAAGTAAATAAATTTTAATTTTCCATTAATTTATGCTTTAGAATGTTAATACATATTGATGTGAAAGTAAAGTATGAATAAACAAACTTAAAAGATATTACTACTACTACTACTATTGGCTACTCTTTTCACTAATGGATTTTAAAATGAAAGAAAAAAAAAAAGAAAAGGAAAAAGAGAGTACATTGTTTGACTAAATCAAATTTATTTTAAGATTAAATCAAGTTTATTTATTCTTTAGCCTCAAGTGTCGAAGTACTTGAAATCCACAAATATCGAACTACTTCAAATCCACTTTTCACTAAGCTTTCCTTTTGTGACAATTTGACAATTATCCTTTTTAAACTTCCCCTTTTTTTTCTTCTTCTATCACTTTATCAATCTTTCGCTTTTTTAAATTTCTTCCAACAATTCTCATTTTCTTCATCATCATCATCATCACCATCATCATCATCATCATCATCACCATCATCGTCATCATCATCACTTGTTAAATCAGCTATTTTTGAAGAAAGAAAAAAAAAAACAAAAAGTGACACAAAAAAAAAATATCTCAACGATTTACTGGCAATAATTCAGTAAATCGAAATATAACAATTGCATTATATGATAACGATGATAACAGGAATCTATGAATTCGATAATATTAATTTTATAATCATTTATCTCAAGGATGATTTTCTTTTTTTTTAAAAATATATCAATAATTTACTGAATCATTTCCTTTATCTTCATTACTTAAAATCAATTATCAGTAAAAGTTAAGTAGATTTTATTGATAATATAAACTTCCTTAATTAATACATCCTTACCGGTTAGGACAAATGAAAATGGAGATGAAAAAAAAAAAAAGAAATGATAAAATGATTAGTTGAACATTGTTGACAAGTAGGGAAGAGGAATGATAAAATGATTAGTTGAATGTTGTTGATAAATAAGAAGGAGGAATGATAAAATTGAGTATTATTGATAAGTAGGAAAAGAGAGTGATAAAATGATTAATTGAATGTTATTGATAAGTTTAGAATGCAACATATCGTCGGTTTATTATTCAAATTCCTCAACAATTTATTGATGCCAATGAATCATTTCATATTGGTACAATTAATTTGGAACTTTATTATCCGGCTCAAATAAATGGCATCAAATTCGTTAATTTCAATAAACGTAAGCCTTCTCATATGATTAATTACAATCATTTTAATTAGCAACTTTCAAATTTTCCCAATTACAATGCTAAAATTAAAACATAATTAAAATCTTCAAAATCAATTTTACGCCTTAATCTTAAAATCTTAAAATTAATATATCTTAATCTTAAAATTAATCTTATATTTTTACCTGAATCATTCGTATGCTTATATTAGAATTAAAATAGTTTAATGATATAAAAGCTCTGATTAATTTTTGCTTTTGTACCTAATGATTTAAGCTCGCACATAATAAACTTAGCATTATGTAAGAAATCATATATGATCATTCTAGAAATCTCAAATATGTCAATGATAACACAAACTATTAATTTATTAATTACTATGCATAATTAATAGCAAAATGAAGAGCTTAATTTATTATGTATGTTAGATAATATGAGTTTTAATGAAGCATTTTCATTAATAAAATGGTACTGAAATCAATATATTCAAGTATTCAAATTCCACTATTCATATTCACGTATTCAAGTTCCATTCATTCAATAAAAATGCTTTGTATTGTATAAATTTTAAGCTATTATAGAAGAAGAATGAAATTGCAAATAAATCTTTTAATTTTAGCGCTTGAAATTAGTGGTGAATTATTTTGCGATAAGAATTATAACATTTCAACAGCTATTGTACGATTTTTTTCAACTGATAAACAAGGTGATATGATTATTTCGTTGAATATTTTAAAATCATATTTTTAAATGATTTAACAATTGATGAAATGATAGATCGAAAAATTTTAGCTCTTTAAAAACTTTCAAATTTAGACAAAATATTCGGAATGCTATATCATCCTCTAAGCATTAGTCTCAAAAACTTTTATTTGATTGATAACAATTTTATCACTATTAAACATCTAGTCAAAGTAACTATCATGTAAGCATGATAGTTAAAATTTTTGGAATAAAAAAAAAAAACAGAATAAATTTGTCAACACAAAAAAAAAAAAACTAAAATAAAAACTCAATTTATTATTTCTATAGTACAAGAGTATGATAATATCCTTCCATTTTCGTCCGAACGATAAGAGTACGATAATACCGTTCCGTTTTCGTTCGAACGATAAGAGTACGATAATACCGTTCCGTTTTCATTCGAACGATAAG